AGGTAATCCCTGGGGCAGCTCTGAGGTAAGTTTGCCCCCCAGCCCCAAACCCTGGGGCAGGCCTGGGGTCCCCACCCTAGGCACCTCTGGGGTGCTGTGAGGATACTCCCACACACAGTGACCCCCAACCCCGGGGTGTCACCCAGGAATACCCCCGGGGTGGAAGTAAATCGGGCAGGGCTTTCTGCAGAAGCCGGCACCGTACGGCGCTGGGGTCTTGCCGTATTTAACGCCTACGTTTCCAAGCCCGAAGGGTGGCGAGGCGCAGCCGCCTGGAACAAGGGAAACGCTCCTTTCTGCCTTTTGTTTCTGCACAACCCGGACCTTGGAGGCCTGGCCAAAGCGAAAAGACCCTGACGCTGTGCGTGGGGCTGCGTGCATTCCACCTCCGAGGGCTTGGTTTTAGGGTGACGGTGCCTGCAATTAACTTGACGTTAATAAAGCTGGAGGCCGGCTCTGCTTCTGCAGTTTCATGCGAATTGGCGTTCATCGCTTCGCGGGAGGGGTGTTCAAACCCTGACAGGTTTTGTCTCGGAATAACCAAAATAAAAACCTTTTTTTTTAAAAAATTCTTTTTAATTGTTTCTATCCTGCGCTGCACGTTACAGAGCAACAGCAGCGCTGGCATGTTGGGGCTTGCGACCGGCTCCAGAGCTGCCGGTAGCTCCTGCCTGGGAGAAGCGAGCGGCTTGAATCCTGGTGGAAAAGCTCCGCGAGTTTTATTAGCTGGTGATTTTGTTTATTTTTTTTCCCCTTAATTCGGATGCTGTCTGTATTTCTGTGGCGCTTTCCAAGAAGCAGAATACTCAGCGCAACGATTTTGGCAAAGGGCTGTTTGGAGTAATTTCTGCTTTGGCCCAAAGCTTGTGGGACAGCTCGAGAGCAGCCCTCAGTTTGTCAGGCTCCTAATTGCAGGCCTGGAGTTCCTCACCTGGCGTGCGAGGAAGAGGAGGAGGAGGAGGAGGCGGCGCTAAATTCACGCTGGATTTAGCAAAGATGGTTTTGCACCTCTCCTGGCTGGCTCTGCCGGTTTTTCTCCTTCCGAAGATGAGCAGCACGGTGTGTTGTTTGCAGAGACGCGCTGGGAAAATAGAAGGATTTCTCTTCTGTTCCTATTTCGGTCCTTTCTCTGCCCGTACGTTCCAGGATGGGAAGGCAGTGAGGGCAGGGAAGCCTGCTGGAAATCGCCGGGGAGAGATGTAGCCTGTAATTACCCCCGCTCAGACCGATGCTGTTAACGCCTGCTGTGGTCCTGTGTTTCCTCTCTCCGCAGGCTCCATCCGTTTCCCATCTCTCCAGGATGAGAGAGGTTTGGGTTCGGCTTTTCCCCTCTCCCTGTAGTTGATAGTTTCGGAACCGGAGGTGATGCTGGAGTCGAGATGGCCGACAGCGTGAAAACCTTCCTTCATGACCTCGTCAGGGTGAGGCTCTGCGTTTCCGGTCCTCTGGCGTAGGGTGACACTGGGTCTCGCTCGGGGAGCACCCTCCTTCCGACATCAGCAAGGGCGGGTTACAAAATACAAGGGAGAAGAAGGGGCTCTGGGTGTATTTGAATCAGACACGCCAATTTTGTAAAGCGGAGATACCTGCAGGCGAGCTTTCTGCTCGCTGATGGCGGTTAGATTTCCCGTGGCCGTGCGGGACGCCTCGGTCCCCAAGCATTTTCAAGAATAATTTCTTGAAATTAGGTTGCGCGGTGCGCCTGTGGCAAAGGGCTCGGCGTTCGTCCGAGGCGCCGCTGAGCCTCGGACAGATTTCCTCTGGGCACAAGTTACTTTACAGCCCGTGAGAACGTCGCAGTTGTGTCGTGGCGATAAGGCTCCGTGCGAGCTCGCTGCTCCCACGCTGTCCTGCACCGCCCAGGTGTAAACACGGGCTGAAAAACATCCGCGACGTGACGCTGTGTTCGGAAATAACTTGTTTTTTGGAACTTTCCAGGTTTGATCTTTTAAGATCTGTGGCACACTGGCCGTGATCTAAAGCGGGAGGACCCGTGTCGTTTTGTGATGCTCTCGCGCCATCTGTAAAGCAGTGGGCGGGGCAGCCCGTCTAATTAATTTCCACCTCGTCAGGTGGCAGCGGCAGGGCGCCCCCG